GAGATACTGACCACACAGTCTAGGAGATACTGACCACACAGTCTAGGGGATACTGACCACACGCTCTATGAGATACTGACCTCACTGTCTAGGGGATACTGACCACACAGTCTAGGAGATACTGACCACACAGTCTAGGGGATACTGACCACATAGTGTATAAGAGATACTGACCACATAGTCTAGTAGATACTGACCACACAGTCTAGGAAATACTGACCACACAGTCTAGGAAATACTGACCACATGCTCTAGGAGATACTGACCACACAGTCTAGGAGATACTGACCACACAATCTAGGAGATACTGACCACAAAGTCTAAGACATACTGACAACACAGTCTAGGGGATACTGACCACACATTCTAGAAGATACTGTTCACACGCTCTAGGAGATACTGATCACACAGTCTAGGACATACTGACCACACAGTCTAGGAGATACTGACCACACAGTCTAAGACATACTGACCACACAGTCTAGGGGATACTGACCACACAGTCTAGGACATACTGACCACACAGTCTAAGAGATACTGACCTCACAGTCTAGGAAATACTGACCACACAGTCTAGGAGATACTGACCACACAGTCTAGGAGATACTGACCACAAAGTCTAAGACATACTGACAACACAGTCTAGGGGATACTGACCACACATTCTAGAAGATAACTGTTCACACGCTCTAGGGGATACTGACCAAACCGTCTAGGGGATACTGACCACATATATAGTGTATAGGGATTCTGACCCTAGTCTAGGGGATACTGACCACACAGTCTAGGGGATACTCACCACACAGTCTAGGGGATACTGGCCACACGCTCTAGGAGATACTGACCGCACGCTCTAGGAGATACTCATGATCACATAGTACAGGGGATACTGACCACATATTCTAGGAGATACTGACCAGATATTTTATTCTAGGAGATACTGACCAGATGCACACAGCCTACACAACAGACTACAACAGGTGGAAGCCATGCTGCCAGAACTCCTCATACTGGCACACCGGTCCACCACCAGTTCCTGGATATTTTCCGCTACAAGGCTGTCCATCAGTTGATCTGTCAAAAATCATTATGTTTGGTCATCATTTTATCTGTCAGAGATTTGTCGTTTAACAAAAAAGAAACTTTATATATTGTTTTAAAGTTTATTTCTTTTACAATAGTCATGAAACAATTGCAATTTATTTCAACTTATATTAATCACTTTTGTTGGCCTGGATGTTAGCATACGTGGGGAGGGTCTAAATGTGGGAGGAAACCGAAGTACCTGGAGAAAACCCCTGTGGTGTAATGACTTTGTGGACCAATGAATGCATGGATGAAGATTCCATTGAAATCAACGAAATCAAAAAATCAAAAAAAAAATCTGGATTTTACTGTATCAACTTGTGCTATAAAGTCATTAACAGTTAACACAGACTAGTCAGCCAAATAAACTTTAAAACCTACTTAATGGTAATGCTTGAGTATGTTGTGATTACATCAATTTTCTTTTAAGTTTGTATTCAATAACGATAGTAATTTAAAGAAGAAGATGAAACTAGAACCATCGCCTATGAAGTTGACCCCATGACCTCAGGATTTTGTCCCAACGTAACTGGCATCAACGTGCCTTTAATACTGCACGGTATGTGTATACAAAGTGCCGACCATTTCTGTGATAATTAGCCATTTCAGTAACGCAATGCATCCGTGACCTTTGACCTCATGACCTTGGACGTTTGTCACAATGTAGCCTGCATAATTAACTGCCTATGCTACACTTATGTATATATGCATACAACATACCATGGCGTTCGCAGAGACACAAGTTCATTGGAGGAATAACATGGGCAAAGTTTCATCAAATCCATGCATAAACTGAGGAGGAATAGGAGGTAAAATATTTTATCTACAGACAGACAAACAGACGGATGGACAGACAGACGGACTGATTCGAGTTTAACCCTCCCCCCCCCCACCTCCTAACTTTGTTGTGGGGGGCATAAATATCTTAGTCAATCATAGGCCAGGGCAGCCATGTTGGATTTCAGATCACATTAATAGCAGAAGTTCCAGACAAAAAAATCGAAAAATATTTTCAGTCAATCAGAAGGCCAGGGAAGCAATTCAGAATGGATCATCCAATCAACCTAATCCTTGGCTTGGACGGCATAAGGAGCATTTGTACCAAATTGGAGTCAATAGCTGATCAAGACTGCATGTTTTTACACAATTTAATTTTAAAGCTTTTAAGATTGCAGACTTATTAGTTCTGCAAAAAACTTGATTTTAATGAGATTGAGAATTTCCTCATTATTCAAGGGTCAACATCTTTGTGAGATATATTTGGTGGTATGAATTACTCCGAAAATACTGAAAAAGGTAGTAATACATATTTTTTTGCTGCAGTATAATGACTCCATTAAGTATAGCTTGATGCACATATAGAATGTTCTCCTTTGTACGATTCTGTAACAAAAACATACATAAATGAATACATATCAGCCAATCATTTACATTCGAACACAATTACTTCAATTTATTTCCATATTTATTAAACTTCATCATGTACCATTTGCTGCTATGACACCTAAAAGTTCCAAAACTGCCTGTGTGACCTCTGGGCTGGAGGTGAAGGTCGTCAGACATTGCATAACCAATTCCCATTTTTCTTGCATAAAACTTTCCTGTAGATCATTATCTGAAATGAAACAGGAATATAGAGGTAATATTTACTGTATATATATCACGTTATGTCAAATACATTCATTTATTTATCATTTTAGAGGCTCGCAAATATGAAAAATCCAAAACTTTTATCATAAATCTAATATGAAGGGAAACTTATGACAGATCCTCTATATATGGTGAATATTCCACCATTTCCAAGATATGACCTTATTTCTCTGTCAGACCCCTACATGTGAATGGAAACAGACTCAAGGGTTATAACTCTAGTACCATGATTGTATTTTTCTAATTACATGTATGTTAAGTAAAGTGTATGGGATAAGAAACATGGCAAAAATACCAAGTGCCTTAACTTTGTTTCGGGACGTAATATATGAAATTATATGCCTGTACGTGTCACACCAAAACCTTCTCTCACCACAGTACTTCAAGCTCTCTGTCAGACACTTACCTTCACTTAGGAGATGTCGCAGGGCAGTAAAGGTGGGTACCAGGATGTAGCGATTGTCATTGAATGTTACTATGGTGTTGTACAAAATGTCAGCCATGTCAGTTACCCCGTCATCCATGATCAACTGATTCCGGATCTCTTCTACAACAAATGTTAGACAGTAACAAGTTTTGGGACAGATTAGCCACAGTCTTTGGGAGTGAAATAAAAGCCCAGTCGACTGCTTCACTTAACTTGGTTTTCATCTAAACTGTTTTCTCACAGTAAAGCATGACAAGAATTTAACACAAGTGACATTGTCACATGAATCAGCTTCCATTCTACACAAAACCATCAAGAACATTATATACAATGGAATCAAATTACTTAATTGTAATAGTGAAAAAACACTCATTTATATAAAGCAGGTACGGTAGTCTAGTGGTAGAACGCCCGGCTCGTGAGCAAAGGGTTGCGGGTTCGAGTCACGTCACGGCACTGTGTTGTATCTTTGAGCAGGATACTTTACTCTGCTTGTTCCAGTCTACTCAGCTGTAAATGAGTACGTAGTTGGGAAGTGCTAGAATTGTTGAATGCTAGCTGTACGTGAGCATTGAAATGGCAGCACGGATAATAATTTGTGAACCGCTTTGAGATGACCTACGAACTAGGTTGTGATAAAGCTGTACATAAGAAACATAAATTATGATTATTATTATTATCCCATCCAGTCAGGACTAACCGACAGATCATCAACAATTAAAGTGTGGAAATCTTCCAGACTGTACTATCAGTACATTGTGACTGAAGTATATTACTGGCAATCACTGTCCCTTGTAGACTCAGCAGTGAGCCACCTACCATGGGTTCACAGATTTAAGCATTCATGGGGTTCACAGATTTAAGCATTCCTGAGGTTCACAGATTTAGACATTCATGGGATTCGAAGATTTAGACATTCATGGGGTTCACAGATTTAGACATTTATTGGGTCCGCAGATTTAGACATTCATAGGGTTCACAGATTTTGACATTAATGGGGTTCACAGATTTAGACATTCACAGGGTTCACAGATTTAGACATTCATGGGGTTCACAGATTTAGACATTCATGAGGTTCACAGAGTTTTATGTTATGTCTTACCTCTGTCTAGTAATCTGGCGAGTATCCTCATGATACTTAGGTGCAGCTCTGCATCAGAGAAGGCGTTTGTATGTAAAATCTCAAGGAGTTGCCTGGAAAAGACATTTTTACTAGATCTACAGCTACATATTCCACTGTTCTGCCAAAAAGTTGACTGCCATACATTTTTTACTTTTAACATTTACAATATCAAATTGAAATCATGTCCTAAATATGAAACATGTTCTCTTATTTTTTAACTTGAAATATTTCAAATTTAAACAAGAGGCCCAATGGGCCTGCATCACTCATCTGGTAATCAATATCATAATTATGTAACCTTAAAAGTGGACTAAAATAAAGCTACAGGCAAAATATCAGTATTTATGACAGTAAGTCATTTAAAAGAACTTGTCAAAATATTTAAACACATTTGACCTCTTTGACCTTGAAAACCAAACAGTTACTTTGAACAAACTATAGCCCTTCATCTCAGCATTAAACTTGCCAAACATCAACACCCTAGACCTAATGTTTATTGAGATTAGGTCATTTAAAGGTTTATACACATTTTACCCGTGACCTTGAATATAAGTCAAGGTCATTCATTTAAACAAACTTCATAGCTCTTCATCAAAGCATATGACAAGCCAAATATCATCATCCTGGTCCTTTTGGTTATTCAGAGGAAGTCATTTAAAGATCTTTAACATATCTGACCCTATTACCTTGAATATTTATCAGTGTTCGGAATGTAAATTTCAGCAGGGCTTGACTTATTCTCGTGGGATTCAAACCCTGGATTATTATACTATCACTCTTAAACCAGAACAGAATTAGGGGAAGGTAACTGTGTATACAAAAACCACATTGATGTGGGATAAGTATCCTTAAATGTTAACATGGAGAAAAATGATAATACAATGCTTTGTCATATGTCAATAGAGCAATGATATAGGGCTTCGTGTGGTGATCCCAGCTGACTGCCTTGTTTACCTACCCTAGTGTAGTAGACTGAGAGAAGGTAGCACAGAGATCTGTTATTCTTTCCACCAGGTCTGCTAGAACTTCGCACCCCAGCTGAAAACCAGACATTTATCTTAAAATTGATCAGGAAGTGTCAATGATCTGAATTAGCGGTGTGTCGGCGACATTATCAGAGAGAAATTTGGTAAATTGTGGACTACAGATGGGATGGACAGATCCACAAGATTTTGATAGGGGAACAGCTCAGTAACATCTTTTTTATTAATTCTGGCTGTGAATTAAGTAATACACGCCATAGATGTAGGTGACTATTGTCAGAGGCATGTAATCCTCCAAATGAAATCTATATATCAGGGAGTGACTTCTGTGCGCATCCCACACACTATTTATAGCAAAACTGTATGCAGACACATACACATTTTATAATGTAATACAGTTATTACTGCAGCAGTCATTATACTTACCTTCTGTATGTTCTTGTGAAGGACAAGGTGAGACACAGAGGTAATTATACTTACCTTCTGTATGTTCTTGTGGAGGTCGAGGTGAGAGACATCAGTCATTATACTTACCTTCTCTATGTTCTTGTGAGGGTCGAGGTGAGAGAGACCAGTCATGATACTTACCTTCTGTATGTTCTTTTGAAGGTCGAGGTGAGAGACAGCAGTCATTATACTTACCATCTGTATGTTCTTGTGAAGGGCGAGGTGAGAGACACCAGTCATTATACTTACCTTCTGTATGTTCTTGTGAAGGTCGAGGTGAGAGACACCAGTCATTATACTTACCTTCTGTATGTTCTTGTGAAGGTCTAGGTGAGAGACAGCAGTCATTATACTTACCTTCTGTATGTTCTTGTGAAGGTCGAGGTGAGAGACAGCAGTCATTATACTTACCTTCTGTATATTCTTGTGGAGGTCAAGGTGAGACACAGCAGTCATTATACTTACCTTCTGTATGTTCTTGTGACGGTCGAGGTGAGAGACAGCAGTCATTATACTTACCTTCTGTATATTCTTGTGGAGGTCAAGGTGAGACACAGCAGTCATTATACATACCTTCTGTATGTTCTTGTGAAGGTCAAGATGAGAGACAGCAGTCATTATACATACCTTCTGTATGTTCTTGTGAAGGTCAAGGTGAGAGACAGCAGTCATTATACTTACCTTCTGTATGTTTTTGTGAAGGTCAAGGTGAGAGACAGCAGTCATTATACACTGGTGGACTTCTTTATTTGCAAGAAATTGGTGAACTTCACCTGAAAACGAAACAGTAAAGGTATCAACAATGACCCTATATGCAGCCATAAATTAAAAATGATTATGTCTCAATTTTAATTTAATATGAATGCTTTTTTTACGAAATATTTATCATATAATATTATTATCACATATTTATTTAAGGTTACCCAGATAAAAGAGATAATGAAAATATTTTGATTTTGGGCTAAGAGATAATTTTGAATTACTACATATGTAGAAGAACTGGACTGGCATTGGTTGATCATCTGCAACTATGTAGCTCACGTATGTATATAATTAGTAGAGCATCTGTCTAGGAATCAGAGGGTCCCCAATTCAAATCCTGGTCTGGCTGTGCATTTTGTTTCTCTTAATTATTACACATTCATTAATTGCCTTTTTTTAAATCAATATAATATAAAACAAACAGTGATCACTTACGTTTATGGGCAAGAACCTGTAACTTTCGAAGTGAGGCCTGTACAAGGTCAACATCGTATGACCTCTGAAGGTTCAGTATGACCCCTTGGATGGACTTTCTGTGTTGAGATTCGTATAGTCTGCTATTATGATCGTCTGTGTGAGACTCCCTGACCGGGGGCCCTGCCCCGTGTGAAACTACCATCCCAATCACATAGTATCTTCTGTATAGAAATCACTGTCAATTCTCAAATCACAAAAACTTGTCATCTGTCAAAATAAAATACATTTTAAATTTCAATGATTGATCACTTTAACTATGATTTAAATTGATTTTTTTTTACACAAACTTTATATAATATGAAAAGAGTGATACACAGTTATTATAATTAGTACCCTCCATCTCATTCGTCTTCACTCATGGTAATGTGGCAGGGTTTAATTGTACATAGGATTAAGGTCGCCTTCTAGCTTCCAGCTAGGGGGAATTTCCCTTTAGGCCAGTGGTAGAGCGTCCGACCAGGAACCTGGAGATTGAGGGTTCGATCCCTGGTGGAAGCACACTATTCTCTTTCCTGTTACAAAGGGTGTCCGTGGCCCTCTCTGTGGTGACAGGGAGTTAGAACCTGGGTTGTGGTGTTCGACGGCGAACACATTTTAAAAAAGGGGGGAGTAGTGTTGCAGGGTTCAATTGTATATAGGTTTAAGGTCGCCTTCTAGCTTCGAGCTAGGGGGAATTTCCCTTTAGCTCAGTGGTAGAGCGTTCGACTAGGAACCTGGAGATCGAGGGTTCAAAAGCACACTATTCTCTTTCCTGTAACAGTAACAACATCACGCCAAAGACACATACATAAACCATTCAATTTCTAATCTAAATATTGGAGCAAGAACGAGAAACTTAAATCCTTCTAAAGTGTTAGGGCCAGATAATATTCCTGATTATCATTATTTCATATGAATACTGTGTTATGCAGTGTCGTAAAGCCATCACATATATTATGTTTATGATATGGGTGTAATATTACTCTGGAAATGACATCACAATGGAATATGAACAATCGATATGACGTCCCATCAAATGTAAAGCGGACACAATTTTCATCGTTTCAGAGACGGCCAAGTGCAAAATATTCGTTTCAGATCACAGTTATACAGTTTACTTTGTATCGTATCATAAAAATAATCTGTCATAAGTTTCCCTTCATATTAGATATATGATACAAGGTTTGTATTTTTCGTGTTTCAGAGGCTCTAAAACACGAAAAATCCAAAACCTTTATCATAAATCTAATAAGAATAGAAACTTATGACAGATCCTCTATTTGTGTTCTAAAACAGTGTTCAGATTATACAGCACCCACACTGACACAAATCCTCAAGTCCACTGAATAAGGACTGGTGAGCTACCTGAAGACTGGCTAACATTCCCTGCATCTTACAAAAGGGAGACAAACACTCAGCAGAAAATTATCGTCCAGTATCATTAACATCAGTGCCATGTAAAACCCTGGAACACATCATATGCAAACATATATAGGACCATCTGGACAAAACTATCGACCTTTCGACCGTGGCAAACAAGTGGACATTGCAATACTTGACTTCTCCGAGGCCTTTGTCACAGTTCCCCACGACAGACTTCTCTACAAGCTAGAGTCGTATGGGATAAGAGGACCTGAGACTGCATAAATGGCTAAAAACCTTTCCAAAGGTGTCGGTAGATGCAGAAGCTGAAATCTCTGAAGAGGCCATTACTGAGTCAGGAGTCCCACAAGAAACAGTGCTATGAACCCTGCTTCATCTTTGCTTCATGACTAACCCAACTCTGTAAAATGAACATAATGACATACTCTCCTCCAGGAAATAACCTGTCTCAAGTTTTTTAGGGTCATTATAAGCGAGTCCTTTGCAAGTAAGGTCTATCGCTGAGTAATTTTGTCATACAAACTGTATCTCATGGGTTCCTGCCTGGGGGTCAATGTAACAGAGTCTATTATTTTTCTGTTTTAATGCCTCCACTGGGAGTCGAACCTGGTACCTCTGGTTTACTTGTCTTATGCTCTACCGAATGAGCTAAAGAGAAATTCTCCCTAGCCGAGTCGGTAGGAGCCGGCTATGATTTTACAAGGATGACATCAGTATCACATGCGTATACTAAACATTCTCCGAGTTAAAGCCATTATGGTGTCTGAAGAGTGTAACATATGGACTACAACCTAAGTTCTACCTCCCCGTCACCACAGGGGCCACGGTTTGGTCAACACTGAAAACTCTAAATCATCAGATACCCACCATTATACACCGACATATCGTCTCTAGCACACATGCATATATTTCATTGATGGAGATAAAATGCATATCACAATAACTGCTCATAAGACGCTAAACTTTTTAAAACAATACAAAGTATCTTACCGAGTCTTTAGGTACCGAAACGACCAATGTTCACTTTACGCCCTTGTTATTACACCACTTCACATAATTTGTTATGTTCAGACGATGACAAACACGTGGGAGAACAACAACAAAATGAGGAGAAAGTTACTTGCGACCTGTCATATCTATATTCCTACAGAACTATTTACTTTCCTTTTACCTACCTCTTGTTTGTAAACAGAGAAATCTTGTTCTATCAGCTGACCGCAGCACACGTGACGACAACTTCCGGAAACTTTCCCTAAAAATGAAACGAAACGCAACGCCATCAAACCTGGTAAAGGGAAATCACTCTGTCAAGCTATATGGTTATCAACTAAAATTTCTAACTTTAAGCCATTGTTACATGTTTGGAGAATGTTACCGGGCTCTGCGACGAGTGTTCATACAGATGTGATAAAAGATAAATAATAGTTAACAAAAAGAAAATTCATAATAATCATTATGGTTGGTAATCATTAGAATGATCAAAGTATTTTTTTATTAGAACTTGAAAAAAAAGTTTTTATAATGGTCATAATTTTGTTCTCTGTTAAAATGAGTTTTATGTTAACTCACTACTCACAGACTGACATATAGAAGTCCGTGCTACACATGATAAGTTCTAATAGGATTAAACAAATAGCAAAAACACAAGTTTTAAATTGAACTGAAAATGTTCATGGGAAAAATCATATTGCAATCATAATACTTTTTTATAAGTAATTTTAATATACAACAAAATTATATATTAAAATTTAAAAAAAACGAGCTGGCTTGTTTTTATGTCAAATCAGCGTCTCTGGTCGAACTCACAATAATGGCTAACTCAACTAACTAAACTAAATTATTCTACAACTTTATTTATGTTCTGTCGGCCACAGTGACCACTTCGTTCTGAAATATAAATTTATCTGCTATAACCGGAAATCTGATAATGCACTGTATCGCCCAAATTACCACGAAGTAAATTATGATAGAATTAAAGCGGAATTGAATATGCCTTGGGATGAAATTCTGACACAATGTACTTTAAAAGTTTTAGGATTAGTTCGCACAAGTATAGAAAAACATATTCCAAAAACTAAAAGAGGGAACGGGGTAGCAAAGAATATCTCCCACTAACAGAAGTAAGACATAAAATCAACAAGAAGCACAGGGCTTGACAAAGGTACATGGAGACAAGATGCGATATAAAATACAGAGAATACACTTAATTGAGAAATCAGGTTAAGAGCCTGGTAAGGAAATCAAGACGACAATAGCCGGATACGTCAAAGACAACCCCAAGTGCTTTTGGAAATACATCAATTCGAAAAGGAAAGTTAAAACTGGTGTATCGGACTTGAAGGCTTGAATGGAGACATTTCAAAAATCGCTGAAAGTGGTGAGGATAAAGCTGACATACTATCTGAGTTTTTCAGCAGTGTGTTTACAGAAAAAAGCACACCAGATAAAATTCCAAAATTAAAGGAATTCATATTTGCAAATATCTTTGAAAAGCCAAACTGTACTGAAAAAATTGCCTGCAAATAATTATCAATATTAAATGTAAATAAATCACAGGGCCCTGACCAGATGCACCCAAAAAGTAATGAAAGAACTACAACGTGTCATAAGCAAACCATTAAGTATGATTTTAAATGAATCTCTAGAAAGTGGAAAAGTCCCGTCTGCATATTCCGTCTTTGCGTATTGCAGAGTTATCTTCTCTTGTGAGCAGGTATTGATTGTTACGTCATTGGTTTGTGAGAGTAACGTCATCAATTTTTGAAAAAACGACGTAATTTTCTCACACAAACCAATGACGTAACAATCAATACCTGCTCCCAAGAGAAGATAACTCTGCAATACGCAAAGACGGAATAGAAAGACGCTGATATTTCAGCAATATTTAAACAGGGATCAAAACAGAAGCAGGGAACTACCGACCAGCAAGCCTTACAAATATCGTAGGTAAAACAATGGTAATACGCGATTCCATTGTTACACATATGGAGAAAAACAACCTGGTCAGTCATAAACATTTTGGATTATCTCAAAACGTTCAACGGTGCTGCAGCTATTAATGGTTCTAGAAGATTGGACTGAAATATTGGACAAGGGAGGAGAAATAGACGTAGTGTACATGGATGTCATGAAAGCCTTCGACAAGGTCCAACACAAAAGATTAATAGGAAAACTTCGAAGCTATGGTTTAAGTTATCAGGTTGTAAGATGGATTGAAGACTGTTTGAGTGATAGAAAGCAGCGTGTAATAGTTAATGGAACGGCCTCAAAACAATATCCAGTAGTCAGCGGAATCCCCCAGGGAAACGTACTAGGGCCGATCTTATTTGTCATTTACATCAATGACTTGCCAGAAAATACAAAATCTAAAACATTTTTATTTGCAGATGACACCAAAATATTCAGGGATATAAAAGGTAACGAAGATTACAAATCATTCAGGAAGATTTGAACAAATTACAAATATGGTCCGATAAGTGGCTGTTACAATTCCACCCACAACTATGTAAAGTACTTACAATAAACGGGAAAGGCAGAAGGCAGTACTACTTGAAGGGATCTCGAAAAGAAAGTACAAACCTAGAAAACATCTCACAAGAAAAGGACATAGGGGTGTTGGTAGACGAGAAACTTAATTTCTCGGCTCAAATACAGGAAGTAGTTAATAAAGCAAACAGCATATTGGGACTCATTAGGAGACCGTTCGTTTATTTCGATCGGATAAACAACTTTTCAATACATTAGTAAGACCTCATCTAGAATATGCAGCCAGTGTTTTGAGTCCACATAAAATAAAGGATATTGAATGCATAGAAAAGGTATAAAGAACAGCCACGAAACTCTTACCAGGTTCGGAAGAGTTACCATACCGAGAGCGCTTGAAAAGGATAGGTATTCCAACCCTGGCATACCGGAGATTGAGAGGCGACATCATAAATGTTTTTAAAATAAGTTTTATTTGGAAGTGTGGTAAGTGTTCATAAAACAGCAATCAACGTAAAAAGTATATAGGTCTCAGAACACAGATCAGGTTAGAACAATGTCGTTTAGTTAGTTAGACTAGCCAACATTGTGATTTTGACATAAAAACTACAGCAAGCATTTTTTAATAATATATTTTTGGTGTATATTATAATTATTCATAAAGAAGTAGTATTATTGTGCAATATAATCAAATCATTTATTACAATTTTAACGATGGGTCCCATGAACATTTTCAAATTTATGTGATTTTGCCATTTTTTTAATGTATTTGTACCCTATTAAAAGCTATAATGTGTAGTGAGTAAACGTCAAATTCCTTTTGAAAAAGAACAAAATTATTTCAATTATAATACCATTTTTTTCAAGTTTTAATAAATAGTACTTAGATCAGAATCAAATTAATTAAACCATTTTTTGTAATGATAATTATGATTTTTTGTGAACTATTATTAATCTTAAATCATATCTGTATAGTTTAAAAAAAATGTAGAACTGCGTTCTCGTCAAAGAGCCTGGTAACATTCTTATGTAAGAATGGCTAAGAGTTCTACTTGATAACGACGGAGTGGTCTCCCCTTAGCACAGGTGCTGAAGCAAGCAATATACCCGCGATCCTCGCCCGTGATCATAATAAATAATAAAATTGTCATTTTCTGTTACAACAATCTTTATATATTATAAAAAGAACTATATAGGCAGACAGGCTTTTGGTTTCCTTTGTTAGTTTTGCGACATTGCCATCAAGTAGCCATATAATTATATACACGTACGATTGGAATTGAAGTGTTGTTCATTGTTGGAACAGTTGTTTGGTCAGTTTTAGCCTCAGTAGGACAGAGGCGTTTGAAGAATTACAGAACATCTGCTTTTAAGATTGCTCAGCATTTTGCTTCTGGGGTCATCACTAATGCATGTGTGCTTACATTGCAGTGATCATCCAGTCTGTTGGAAATAACTTTTTTCCTTTAGTGCATTTTTATATAATTTGATTTTAACAAAACGAAGATCGCTTTATTATTTAAGCAATCCCGATAAAATGTTTTCATTAAACGTGATTCTAGGCAAATAAATCTCTAATAACGAGGCAAGACCAAAAGGTGCATCCAGGATTGTGTTTGTTTCTCATGCCAGGAAAGCACACCTGTTTAGCTGTATGGTTGGAATCTCAAATACATGTATTTCAGTTTTATTTACCTGGACTAAGTTCTAAGGGCGTGGCTGAACCCTGAACGTACTTGGTGTAGCCTAAGTGTGTCCATATCTTCATGACCAGCAATTACATATATGGTTGGCTGTCTCTACCATCTCCATGCACAGATCAAGAGACTGAATCCTAGTGGATCAGCATAACCAGCAGGCTATCATAAAAGCATGAGTGTATTCGTCCTTTTATGCCAAGCGAGCACAGATATGGTAAAATGTTTGATATTTCAACCGTTCCATAACTTGATCCAGACCCTTAGTCCCATGCATCTTGACTGCCTTGTTATGGTTATTGGGTGGGGATCTCAACAGTTTCCAAACTAGCATTGCCAAGGCAGAAGTTTGCTCCAAGAACTGTAAGAATTGTTTTTCACCAAAAATTTTAAACAAACAGGATTGACTACAGAAAAAGGGGAGGTTTACTCCAATTTTTATATTTTGTTATAAATGTTCTGTGTTATACGAATCAATCAAATCAGAACATTACTTAATATTGAGTTGCTCAAGCAATGTATTTAAACAAAGGGACATAACTTCATAAATTTAGAAGCTAAAGTTCTCCGTTTTATATTCTTCAATACTCATGTCTCCTCCATGTAAGCATTATATGTACCAAGTATCATTGAGATTGGTGAAGCACGCGTTCCTTAATAGTGCAAAAAATGCTTTAAAGGGAGCATAACTTCTGCATACTCACATCCCCTCAGTTTAAGTATTATGTGTACCAAGTATAATTAAATAAATGTATCAACAAGTAAATGAAATAGAATCAAGACATTCCCTAAAGCTAAAAAGCTTACAACGATGTAGATTACAGATTACAGCAGAAGTACAGCGAAATGTGCTCCGTCATATCTAAATGACATTGTTCCGAGCAGAGTTAATAACATGTGTCGATATTTTCTGGAAATAATTAAGATTATGGTATACCACGAAGTAGATTAACCTTCTATGTAAAATCCTTTCTCCCTTATATAGTA